CGACATTTTTTCGATGCATTTTCACCAAACCCGTGCCGAATCTGTAGAGTTGCATAGTTCTTTACATTTTTGGTATTTTCCAGTGGTAGTGTATGGCAACTCCGGCGACCGCGCATGCAACAGAGTGTGAAGGAGTGCGTGGCAGCACGTGGAGGCGTGTGCAATATTCCAGTGGTTATGTTCGGTGGTTTTTTGTGTAGTGGCGACTCTCTATGAGTGTTTTTTATTTTCTAACAGTGTTTTTTTTCTCTCTGTTTAGGTTTTTGGTGCACATTTAGGGATTCGAGATGATATCTATAAAGTATAAGATAGAGAAAGGGTAAATCAAAATCTAGAGGTAAAAAGGGAAATTGTTTTAAATGTGGAGAGAATGCTCACTTTAGGAGAGATTGTCCTATGTTGAAGAGAGAAAATGAATAGGAGAGTTTTGCTAATATAGTCGACATAGATAATTCTGATGATAGTGACAGCAGCAGTGTTGAGGTAATTTTATTTGTGAATTCAGATCATAGAAAGAATTCTTGAATTCTTAATTCTAGTGCTACATTCTACACGTGTCCACATAGTCATTGGTTTGCTACTTACAAGCAGATGAGTGGTATTGTGTATTTGGGAGATGACAGTTCGTAATCTATCGCTGAGATTGGTAATATCATATTAAGAATGTTTAATGATATCATCAGAATTGTTAAGTGTTGGCATGTTTCTCATATGAAGAGGAATTTGATTTCTCTTTCTATATTGGCGACATAGGGTTATAAATATCATGCAGAGAATGGTACTCTTAAAATATGTAAAAGCTTTAAGGTACTCATGAAAGGCAATTTGGAATCTGAAATTGTATGTTCTTCAGGAAAATGTTAGTTTCAAGGGAAGCTGTTGTAGCATCAGGAAACAGTAATCAGAATCAGTTATAGCATCTGTGTTTGGGTCATATGAGTAACAAGGGATTATTTGTTTTGAGCAAACAGAGTTTGTTGAACGGATATAAAGAAGAAGCTTTGGGTTTCTGTGAACACTGTGTGTTTGGCAAGCAGATCAGAGTGAAATTTAAAAAAAAAAAGCAGTGCACAAGATCAAAGGTAAGGTGGATTATGTTCATTTTGACTTATGGGGTTCATACATAATTTCTTCCAATAGTGGTGTCAAGTATTTCATGACATTGATCGATAATTACTCTAGGAAGATATGGGTATATTTTTTGAAATCCAAAAAAGAGGCATTCTTAATATTTGTCATATGAAAGACCATGATTGAGAAACAGACAGAGAGAAAGATCAAATATTTTATGACTGACAATGAGTTGAAATTTTACAATCATGAGTTTGATAATTTCTGCAGTACAAAAGGTATAGTGAGACATCTTACTTGTGTTAGGACACCACAATAAAATGGTATTGCAAAACGCATGAATAGGATGCTTTATGATAGAGCATGAAACATGTCTCATTCTGGTGTGGGACAGGAATTTTGGGCTAAAACTATGAATACTACTAGTTTCTTAGTTAATAGATCTCTATCTACAGCTATTAAAAGTAAAACTTCTTTTAAGGTATGGTCTGTGTCATATGTTGATTACTTTCAGTTGGAAGTGTTTGGTTGTCTTGCTTATGCTCATGTTAAAGATGGTAACCTTAAGCCAAGGGTAAAGAAATGCATCTAAAGTGAAAGGGTACAAGTTGTGGTGTAGTGATCCTAAGTCTCCAATGTTAATTATCAATAAAGATGTGACATTTAATGAGTGTGCTTCACTAGATAGTCAGAAGGGGAAGGCAATAATAGAATCAAATCACAGTGTCCGAGAAAAAGCAGAGTTAGAAGTTCAGTTTAATGGTACAGGGAATGAAGTACATGATTTTAATTAAGAAGGTGATAGTGCATCTGATCAACAACAACCATATAGTATTGCAACAAACAGGAAGATAAGATAGATTAAACAACCATAGAGATATGAGAATCTGATTGTATATAACTTGTCAGTTGTAGGGCCAGTTGATTTACAGTAATCGGGGTGTACAAATGCTGATTAGATGATTGTTGTTGTGTGTGAAGAATTTGATGACAGATGTCACTCTGCTCAGGGATTAGATAGCAAGTTTAGGTGCAGTCTAAACTTGGATGGAGTATGTGATACTCAATAGCGTCCCAATGGGGGCATGTTGGCTAAATAGTGCGACAAAATAGTTAACTGCTTTGATGATAGAGGAAATTCAAGTTAATGGGAAGATTTATTGATGTGTCTTGAATTTTTCTGATATTTATCTATATATTTGGGGATAATTTATATGATTTTTTTGTTGTATTTATCTTAGAGAATATTTGATGTATATTCTAAAAAAAATTTATTTGTGAAAAAACTCTATTAATCTCTCTATAAATAGATTTGCTAACTTATTGGTGATGTACTCTCAGATTACATAATAAAATTCTTTTTTACTAGTCTTACTTGTGGATGTAGGCACACTGTCGAACCACGTAAAATTCTTGTATTCTTTTTATTTCTACTTTTACTTTAGTGTGATTGTGCGTGCTTCAAGGATTAATTTTTTTCAACACTTACTAAGTTTATTCTCTAATTTTTGTTTTGTTTACCGAATGGACTATTGCGTTTCTTTTAAGGTCTTGAAGACAAAAGAGGCTACCAAATGTGTTTCTACTCTCACCAAGGAACTTGTTTCTTGATCTTGCAGTTTCTTCTAATGAGGGTTTCACAGAAGCCGCTCATGTGTAAGTTCTCTCTCTCTCTCTCTCTCTCTCTCTAGCAGGAAAATTTTTTTTTTCTACTGTTTTATTAGGATGTAAGAAAAGTATTTTCTATTTGATATTTCTAGTGGGTTTCAAAAGACTCTATACCAATATCTCAAGCAACTTTTTATATGCGATAGTAATATGGTATATGTCAGCTTTGTTGATGAGATTATACCATATTTGATGCTTCAAATCTTGAACTACACTATCGTATCTTTCCAATTGTCTACCTTCCACCTGGTACAAGGTATGTCATACTTGAGGTCTACTATGGAGGCATTATACGCTTGAGAAATTATAGAATTTTCATTCATCAAATCTTGAAGTTTATTCATTAAGATTAGTTTTCAATGAAATCGCCTCTTATAGAAATGCTACTATGGTGCCTCACTCCTCCAGAGCACTAAAGAATTTTGCTTCTGATAATCCCAAATTGTTGTCAACTTAAATTTTTCCTGACAAGTACTTTACATCTCATTCTCATAATGATAAATCTGTTTCACAGCTTCGATTTCATGATGAGAAAGGTCCACAATAATGTTAGTGTTTTTTGGCTGCAGGCCCTATGTTTATCTTTTTTCCATGGCTGCGCAGCTTTAGAGACCAACTCAATTTACTACTAGACTAACCGATGGCAGAGCGGTTGTCCTTGAGCCTGAAGAAGCTAGTGGCAAATGGGGGTATGATGCCCCTGGGTAAAACCGAATAATCACATAGTGTCATTGAAGGATCTACTAATGAATGTGCTCGCAGGGTTTGTGAAAGCGAGGCTTCATTAAGCAAGCTTGGCATACGTACATGCTTGTGGGTTTTTTCATGATATCTATTAATGGATGCTAAGAATTATAATTTTTTGTATTTGATCTCATGACTATTAATTACATAATTTTTATGTCTTCTACCGGTAAGGTTTATGAGGTAAGTGGTCGATGATTTTTTTTCGATATAAATAAAAATAAGTGCATAGATTATTAATGTGCTACTTTACTTTTACACTGAAATATTTAGTTTGAAATATGTTGATTGGTTCTTCAGCAAATTTGTCTTATTATGATGTTTGATTTAAATTATTTGAGTAAAATAACATTTAGCAAAGGCATAAAAGAATTTTAAAGTTCAGATAATCTTTTAAACTACATTTTTTTTTAATATTCAAAAACCATGGTTCCCATGGTAATTTAGTTCTCTTGATGCATCAAATTAAAAATCTTTTAGATTAAATTTTACTTGCTAACCCTTAATTTTTTTTTTTTTAGTATAATAAAAAACAAGTCATGTACATTGCAATTAGAATATCATTTAGAAATTAGAATTAAGAAATTATCAAAGGAGATCGTTATAATATTATTTCTAAAGTTTAAACCTGAAACTGTTGTTTACTTTAAATTTTTTATACTATTTTAACATCTTACATTCCAACCAAATTGAACTGGAACCCTTCTGGGGAACTTGAAGGATATTACTTATATTCAGGGACTGACCTATGGGGCCCACTGGGATTTTATTACTGACGTTTTTCTAAATGAATTTCTTGCCGTAAGGAAATAAAGAGGAGGAGTTCGTTTCTCGTTTTTCTTTTTTTCTTTTTCCGGGTGAAAGTACAGGGAAGAATTAATATGCTGCACCACCTAATTGACAGGCCCAATCTGTTATAGGCGCGTGCACTTACACTCTCCCTTGCCTGTAACTCTGTTGGTAAAAATCATAGTAATAATAATAATAATAATAAGCTTTAATTAATAGATAATTTTTTAATTAATAGATAATTCTTTATTTGGAAACAAATAAAAACAAATAATTAGAGTATTACTGCTATCTTTATATCCATTTAATTCAGTCATGATTTCTCTTCTAAATCCTTTTAGCCATTTTTGGAAATCACACTGGGGTTACCAAAAAAAAAAAAAAAAAACTAACCAAATGTGTTACTTTGACATTATAATTTAATTTTTATATAATATTGTAAATGTCATAATTGTCATTATAGCAAATATAATTTTTTAAAAAAAATACCAAGTTTTTTATAAAACATAAAAATATTAAAGAATTAAAAAAATCCTAACCAAAATTAGAAATTGGCTAAGTTTATCTATTTTAATTCTCTAAACTTTCTTCTTTCATTTTTTTTTTTTTTTACCAAAATTCTTCAGTTGTTGAGATTTTTATGTGTTTCAGGGATATGTTGGTATCAAACTAGGAAAGAAAAGAAGCAGATCATACTTTTTTTCAAATAACTGCCGAATTAGTATTCAGACTGACTTGCAAATTTTCCCGGGACGATCAGGAGCAATACCAGTTTTCAATGGAGATTTCTCAGTTACTACCAGGCAAGACCACACCCGCCATGTTTTTACCTGAACTATGAGCGTGGACGCCACGTGGTTCAATAGAACGTGGGAGTCAAAACTTTCCCGTGGGAACGTTGACCTTCAAGGAGGGAGAGAAAACCCAAACCCTAGGTGACGATGCAGAAATGTTTGTCTTCCCTCTTATTGCATCAATATTTCCTCTGCAACCAAGCGCCATTCTCGATAACAATAAGCACAGGACTCGATCCTCCATTTCTCGTGTTATCATCCTTATCTCTTACGTTCAATTTCAGCCCTCATAGAATTTAGCCTTTGGAATTTCTCTCTTGTCCTGCTTTGTCCAATTACAAAACAGAGCAACCAGAGAGAGATTTTCCTTTTCGTTTCCTTTTTCTTTTCTTGTGTATGATTTTAGTTGAAAGTTTTTGTAATTTGGTTCTGGTTCGAGTGTTCTTTTGTGTTTGTTTATACTTTTTTTGCATCCGTATTTGCCTTCTTCATTCGTTTGATTCCCGGAACCTGTTTGTTTTTTTTTCAATCTTTTCATAATCTATCAATTCGCATAGCGTCTTTTTCATCATAATCATATTTCATAGCATAAGTTTGGATTTAGGATTCTTCTATCTTTTTTTGGTTCTTTGTGTTCCTTCTGAACTGAATTATCAATGGGAAAGCCTACGGGGAAGAAGAACCAAGACTCGCCGAAAGCCGCTGACACCATCGGTAAGCCGAGCAAAATTTCCGATCGAACATCGAAGGCGTTTGACGAAGACACCGCTATCTTCATCAACATGTCACAGGAGCTCAAAGAAGAAGGTAACAAACTCTTTCAAAAGCGCGATCATGAAGGCGCCATGTTAAAATACGAGAAGGCCCTTAAACTTCTGCCTAGGAACCACATCGATGTAGCTTACTTGCACACTAACATGGCCGCATGTTACATGCAAATGGGTCTGGGCGAGTACCCACGAGCAATTAATGAATGTAACTTAGCGTTAGAGGTCTCCCCTAGGTATAGCAAGGCTTTGTTGAAGAGGGCTAGGTGTTATGAGTCTTTGAATAGATTGGATTTGGCTTTCAGGGATGCTCATATTGTGTTAAACATGGAACCCAATAATTTAACAGCCTCTGATATTTTCGAGAGGGTGAAAAAGGCCTTGGTGGAGAAGGGGGTTGATGTCAATGAAATGGAAAGTAGTTTAGTTGACGTGCAACCTATTGGTGCTTCACGTTTGCGTAAGGTGGTGAAAGAGAAACTGCGGAAGAAGAAGAGGAGTGATAAGGGTGAGGGGAAGAAGGTAGACAAAGGTGAGGTAAAGAGGGCTGATAGAAGTGGTGAAGTGAAGAAGGTGGATAAATCCGAGGAGAAGAAATCAGAGGATAAGGTTGTTGTGGAGGAGAAGAAGGTGAGCCTGGTTAAGGATAAAGAGGTTGTTGAGGCAGAAGAAAAAAGTTGTGACTGTGGCTGTTAATAAGGAAGAGAAGGTGATTACTAGGACAGTTAAGTTGGTGTTTTTAGAGGATATTAGATGGGCACAGTTGCCACTGAATTGTAGTATTAGATTGGTGCGAGATATAGTTCAGGATAGGCTCCCTAGCTTGAAGGGTGCTCTTGTGAAATACAAGGACCCAGAGGGTGATCTGATTACCATAACTACCACGGATGAGCTTAGATTGGCTGAAGCCTCAGGTGATTCCCAGGGTTCACTTAGATTGTATATTTTCGAAGTTAGCCCTGATCAAGAACCGGATTACGGAGGGGTGAATGATGAGGAACTGCATATGGTTGACAAGAGACCAAGTAAAGAGGTTGAGAATGGGAACTCAAGGGAAACTGCAGAATCTGAAACTGATTTGATTTGCATAGAGGACTGGATTATACAGTTTGCACGATTGTTCAAGAACCATGTTGGATTTGATTCCGATTCTTATTTGGATCTTCATGATGCCGGAATGAAGTTATATTCAGAAGCAATGGAGGATACTGTTACAAGTGAAGATAGCCAGGAACTTTTTGAAATTGCTGCCGATAAGTTCCAGGAGATGGCAGCTCTTGCAATGTTCAACTGGGGAAATGTTCATATGTCAAGAGCAAGGAAGAGGGTGTTCTATCCAGAAGATAGTTCAAAGGAATCCATTCTTGTGCAGCTTAAGACTGCATATGAATGGGCACAGAAAGAGTATGTAAAGGCAGGAATGAGGTATGAAGAAGCTCTAAAGATCAAGCCTGACTTCTATGAAGCCCTTCTCGCGCTGGGACAACAGCAGTTTGAGCAGGCAAAGCTTTCCTGGTACTATGCAATCGGAAACAAGATTGATTTAGAAAGTGGCCCTTCCCAAGAGGTCCTACAGCTGTATAACAAGGCTGAGGACAGCATGGAGAGGGGGATGCAGATGTGGGAAGAGATGGAGGAGCAACGACTAAATGGACTCTCAAAGTTTGATAGATATAAAGACCAGTTGCAGAAAATAGGTTTAGATGGACTGTTCAATGATGCATCTTCTGAAGAAGCTGCAGACCGGGCTGCAAATATGAGTTCACAAATATACCTCTTATGGGGTACCTTGCTATATGAGCGGTCTCTTGTGGAATACAAGCTTGGACTACCAACTTGGGAAGAATGTTTAGAGGTTTCAGTTGAGAAGTTTGAACTTGCTGGAGCTTCTCCAACAGATATTGCTGTTATGATAAAGAATCATTGCTCCAATGAAACGGCACTAGAAGGTAAAATAGAAGTGATTACAGAATCATTTTCTTTTCCAGTTTCAAAACTGTTTGGGTTGTATTGTAAGTAGTTACCACTTTGCCTGATTGCAGGTTTAGGGTTCAAAATTGATGAGATAGTACAGGCATGGAATGAAATGTATGATGCTAAGAGATGGCAGATCGGCGTTCCGTCTTTTCGGCTGGAACCTCTGTTCCGTCGACGGGTTCCAAAACTTCATTCTATATTAGAGCAAGTACATCTCTCACACCATGACTGAGCATGTTTGGGGATTTTCTTGATTATATACTGTATAGAGGCATTGAGCAAATCATCAGTTCTCTTTTGAAAGTCTTGCGAGGTGGCTAAGGAATATAGGTAAGTTTGTATCTACTTTTCAGGATGTTAATCTTCTTTTAACTGCTTGACATGTTATTGTTGGAGATTGGCATGATTTAATTATAAACCAAAAATTGCTGACCTACGACTCTTTACTTCACAATATCTATAAAAATTCAGCACCTATCTTTTGTCTTATTTCTGCCTTCTGTTTTCTGGACTCTTTGGAGAGAGGAATTCATGAGCCTCTAAACGTGTTGAATCCTCCTTTTGTTGAGTAAAAAACTTTGGCCAATGAATCCATTCTTTTGGATTAATGATGAGAACACCATAGAGAGGAGGAGCGCTTTTGATTTAGTTGATACCTTGTCTGTAACCAGATTGTCTATGCATACCCTCTAGGAGTTGAATTCCTCATTGTGCTTCGTATACAAGTTAGGGGCACATCGAATAAGCAACTCTGTCTACATGATCATTTTCCTCCGTAAGAGTTTGTTAAGAAGGTGTGGGGTCTTCAAGCTCAACCAAGCATCTTGGACCTTATGGAGGGGTAGTATCTACCATCTACTCCTCAAACCCCCTCATATTTCTCTCTCAAAGAGATCTATAAAATAGACAATGAGTAGTAAATGCAAGACCTTATTTTTCTCTGATCCAGCTGCCCCTCCCCTGCACTGGGTCCTTCCAAAATGTCCTAGCAAAACCTTTTCACCCAAAAGAGTTGGGACCCCCCCCCGAGGCTGCCGTGTTCATGAGCAGATTTTTTATAAGAGTGGGTGAGACAGTCTCTACTGCTTTTCTGCGCATGTAGCTGCAATCCTTATTTCAACTGCTGCAAGTTTAAATTTTGCATGTGAAGTGGATTTTTGATAGCTTTGCCTTTTTTATTTGAATTTATTCTTTCCTGATTACAAAAGAAAGATTCCAGTTCCATCTCCCCTAGTTTTTCTGTGTTGTAAATGAAATTTGTGGATTATCTTTGAAAATTATGGTTCTTATGATTTGACTTCTTTTGTTATTTCACATAAAAATGATAGTTCTTAGGTTACTGTCTTTCCATATTTGTTTTTTCTTCCGATTTTAATTTGTTTAGGCATGAACTTCTACAAAATGGTATTTAGAAGTCCTCACCGGAGCAAATGTTTTCTGCACGCTAATGATTTATATTAAATGACAAAAAATATATATATATATATATATATATAAGGATTGAATTGTGGCTCATCTTAACATTTGATAATAGATTTTTAATTTTATAATCTGTTCATTTATCGTGATGTATCTTTCTTTCCACATTGCAGGTTCTCTTCTTCACCCCAATGTCGTGCCATGTTCTGTCGTTCTGTCTCCTTTGCTTAGGTAGCAAAGAATGGAAGTTTGTCTAGTTTTGGTTTCTGGTTTGAAATTCTGTGATTAGGCTAAGGAGCCAATTACATTGATTCTTTCTTTTTTTTTTTTTTTTTTTTTCTTGGATTTCATTTTTGGGTGGGATATTTTTTATTTTGAGTTTTCGATAGTTGGAAATTAGTATATTTATTTGATTGGTTAAATGTAAGAAATAAGTGGGGTGCAATGAAACAACACCATCTTGATTGATTTATTTTTCATAGGTTGTGGATCTGCTGCTCTTTAGTTTAGGCAGCTTGGGGTGGATACTCTTTCACTGTTTTTGCCTCTTAAGACTCTTATAAATCTTTCTTGGCTGTAACTTATATAATATTTGATTGATTAAGTGTGTTTAAATTATAAATTATGTTTTATCATTTTCTAAAAATAATAAATAATATTATTTAACTAGACATTAATTATATATGTATTTTTCTTTTTGTTAAAATATACACTTCTCTTTTTTACTTTTATTTATATAACTTTCCAAAGAAAATAGAATTTTGTATTATTGTTTTAGAAGTAGATAACTGATGCATAACAAGTAAATAATTTGTATACAATATTAAGATATTAAATTGAATTGAATTAGAAAGCAATGATTTGATTGTAATTATGTTCAAGGTCATAATATATTATTATTAACAGAGAGAGAATCTTATTTTTGAATATCCAATAAATTGATTTTTATGAGTGGGCCTTTTGTGCTTATACTGGGCTGACGCCAGACCATCATACGGCAGATCGCGAAAGATGAAATCAGTAAAACGGTGTCGTTACAATCCGTCAGGGATTCGGAGTCGCAGTATAATAACACACTTCTATTCTATTTCTACCATTATTATCACTCTCCTCACGACTCTTGCAGGAGAATCCAGGAGAAGAAAAAGCAAAAGCAAAGCATCTCTCAAATAATCACTGAAAATTTAGGGTTCTTATCGGATCTCGATATCTCAGTCCCGTCAAAAACATGGAGAGAGTGAGGAGGGCATCGCATGCAGGCTCCTGGTACACCGATAATCGTGAGTTCGAAATTATTTCTTGCTTTTTTTTTTTTACTTGAATGTACTGATTGTACAAAGAGAGACTTGTATTTAGCTAAAAACAGGTAGGGAAAACGTCTATTTGTTCTTATTTAATTATCTGTATTGATTTGCGTGGATGAGCTGGCAAGCATTCTGATTTGATCGCTGAGAAATATGGATATTTCAGCTGAAAAAGAGTTTTGACAATAGAGTAGGTGGTTTTTCTAGATGATTCTGGTTTAAAGAAAGAACGGTAGTTGATCGCAACAGAAAGTAGGAAATAGATATCCTCTCTCTCTTAAGAATTGCTTTTGGAGATGACGATTTAGGAATCGATGAAGAATGTTAGCGATGATACGGGCAAATCATTGAACTTTTTAATCAGAAGTAAACAAGAGTTGAAGATGGGATGTCTTCTACTAGAATAAAATTGGCGGATGCTATGTCTATGAACAATATGAGTGGTTGCCTTGATAACATACTTATGTATTTGATTGGGAGAAGGGAATTTAATCAGTGCACCTTTACCCCCAGCCGTTGTAGTATGGTGAACTTTAGGTTGATATGATTGATACCTTTGGTACGAGTATTTGAAGTTTCATGATCTCGCAACTACTCCCAGCTGCTGGAGAATGATGAACTTTACGTTGATATGACTGATACCTTTGGTACCAGTACTTGAAGTTTCATGATCCCGCAACTACTGTTAACAGCAATTTTCCCTTTCTTTTATTGTGACGAAAGTAAATTTTATATGTCTTAACCTGATGTCAGTGCAACTTGGTAGAATATTGTGCAAATTTTGCATTGCCGTTTTTGGTATCATAATTACACTATTTGGATGCTCAAGTTGGGGTGGTACCATAGTATTTCTTGTCGTCCTCTTTTTTTTTCACTTATTTGAAAATTAACTCTACATGCTTTGATAATTTAGGGAGCATAATATATTGATTTTATTTTTGCAAGCCTAAAATGTCTGGTTCGTTATGCATCACCTTATCAGGTTGTGGTATGTAAATTTTATGAAGTAATTTTTAAAATGCTACTGAGTTTAGCTTGTCTTAAAGGATTGTTATTGCTTGACACTTTGGTTTGGATTGTGAGAGGTGGAGGGGGAGGGACTAGAATGGGGGTAATTTGAAAAAAAAAAAAAATTGGCTTCCGTCGCCGAATGATTCTTATTTATTCATTTCTTCCATCAAATAA